CGCGAATAACCAAGGGAAGAAGGGGAGATACCACAATTGTTCAGCACACCTTTGGTCAAAGGATCAGCTTCACTTGTCTCTCTGACGAGTTTTGTATGGTGCTAAGAATGGCGATTCTCACTGACGATGCCGACTACGATGCCGGCGACACGTTTGGGGATGTACCACGTCCACGGTTCAACTTTGGAAATGAACATGCAGACAATGGACTTCGGACCAGGTGCGTTCCTCTAAGTCTTCCTACCAATATGACCATGTTGCGAAAACAGGGTCAAACAACCTCTAAACATCATTTGTGCTTACCTTATAGACTCAAGGATAGCGAGCGTGTTGAGCCGCATGCAAAAAGGAGGCGACTGAACTAGTATTTTCTTATCCTGGTCCTTATCATAGTCACTTCTCTGTACTTTTAGCCGCATCTATGACCAAATATTTCATCTCCATGGACAAAACGTCATCTCAGCAGCCAACAATAATTATGCGGTATTAGGATCACTACTTAGCAATTTGATCGCATGCATAGAAAAATTAGACGACTTTCTGATCTTCCTAATCTAAATGGATGAAGGAGTCAAACTTACAGTGGATGTGAAAGAAAACGAACATTTACCTTTCTTGAATATGGAGGTAAATGTCTCCGATAAAACTCTCAAGAAACGAGATTTCTGAAAGAAATCGCGTTCTTAGCTCTTAACTTCTAGTCTAATCATACTTGTGGAATGAAGCTAGGAATACTCCGGAGTATGGTCATAATAAGACTACGACTCAGTGATTGTGGGAAAAGGAATTGGAAAAACTAACTCCAATGTTACTTGCAGACGGATATCCTGATGAAGCGATACAACACAACATACAAATGGTGATGAACAAATGAAAGAACATAGATTATGAAAGCAAAGTATGAGGAACAGAGGAAAAACGATGGATATGTCTACCCTCCTGCGAATTGGCTCGGAGGCTGGGACCGATGCTATGAAACTGAAGCATTCGTACTATCCTGAAGGACAGGACAACCCTCTTCATCAGCTTGCCTAACCAGCATGAAGAAGTCAGCAAAATGAAGTGTTACGGAGTTTACAACACAAATTGCAAGGACTGTATACTAAAACACATAGGAGAGACTGGAAAGCAAATTAGGACAAGCATCAAAATAGACTAGCGACTAAGGCAGGCGATTATAGTGAGAAGAGTCAAAGCTGAAATCGGCCAAAAATTTTCCCACCTGTGAAATGTGGGATATTAAATTAAAGGCTAAAGGTATAGGTGGGTAAGATATAGGTCA